AAGGTCACATCACACACGGTAATATCACACATGGCAACATCACACATGGTAACATCACACATGGTAGCATCACACATAGTAACATCACACATGGTAACATCGCACAAGGTCACATCACACATGGTATCACACAAAGTCACATCTTTCATGGTAACATCACACAAAATAACATCACACAAGGTCACATCTTACATGGTAATATCACACATGGTAACATCACACATGGTAACATCACACATGGTAACATCACACATGGTAACATCACACATGGTAACATCACACATGGTAATATCACACATGGTCACATCACACATGGTCACATCACACATGGCCACATCACTTATGGTAATATCACAGATGGTCACATCACACATGCTAACATCACACATGGTAACATCACACATAGTTACTTCACACATTATAACATCACACATGGTAACATCACACATGGTAAGATCACACAAGATCACATCACAAATAGTAACATCACTCATCGTAACATCACACATGGTAACATCGCACATTGTAACATCACACATGGTAACATCACACAAGGTCACATCACACTTGGTTACATCACACATGGCAACATCACACATGGCAACATCACACATGGTAAGATCACACATTGCAACATCACGCATGGCAACATCACACATGGCAACATCACACATGGTAAGATCACACATGGCAACATCACACATGGCAACATCACACATGGCAACATCACACATGGTAAGATCACACATGGCAACATCACACATGGCAACATCACACATGGCAACATCACACATGGCAACATCACACATGGCAACATCACATATGGTAGCATCACACGTATTAACATCACACATGGTAACATCACACAAGGTCACATCACACACTGTAACATCACTCATGGCAACATCACACATGGTAACATCGCACATGGTAGCATCACACATAGTAACATCACACATGGTAACATCACACAAGGTCACATCACACATGACAACATCACACAAGGTCACATCACACATGGTTACATCACACATTATAACATCACACATTATAACATCACACATGGTAACATCACACATGGTAACATCACACATGCTAACGTCACACATGCTAACATCACACAGGGTAACATCACACTAGATCATATCACACATGCTAACGTCACACATGGTAACATCACACATGGTAACATCACACAAGGTCACATCACACATGGTAACATTACACATGGTAACATCACACAATGTCACATCCCACATGGTAACATCACACATGGTAACATCACTTGGTAACATCATATATGGTAACATCACACATGGTAACATCACACATGGTAACATCACAGAAGGTAACATCACACATGGTAACATCACACAAGGCAACATCACTCATGGTAACATCACACATGGTAACATCACACATGGTAACATCATTCAAGGTAACATCACACATGGTAACATCACACAAGGTAACGTCACACATGGTAACATCATACAAGGTAACATCACACAAAAATTAACATCACACATGGTAACATCACACGAAAATTAACATCTCACATGGTAACATCACACGAAAATTAACATCTCACATGGTAACATCGTGTGTTCAGCATATGATGAAGGTAAGACTTCTGAGATGGGAGGAATTTAGGCGACACTGCTCTCGCTGGCTGTCTTAGTTACATAACTTCAACCGGAATTTTCTATATATATGTTTTAGATAAACGTCTGTAGTATATAATTAAGGTTACTCTCGTATATTTTGAGGAGGGATTATTTGTGCAATTTTTTATTTGCTTTCTCGTAATTATTCTTGTGTTAATCCCTGTAAATAATAACGTGAATCTTTGTCAATTAAGATGTGCGTAATAAGGTATCCCACTTGTCATGTTATTTCTTGTCACATTTGGAAGCTAGTGTGAAAATAATGTTTTAAGTTTTCAGTTTTTTCTTTTGATTTTTCCAAAGAATACGTATTTACCAACATGAACAGAAATTAAAAACCACTGGGCCTTTTATTAACTCTTCCCTCTACAATGGTCCTGGATTTCTAATGTGTGTGGATGGATAACAGCATTAGCATGCTGTATGAAGGCAGGAATAGAGAAGAGAGAGAGAGAGAGAGAGAGAGAGAGAGAGAGAGAAGTATTTCGAGTTATAGTAGATATTGTTTCAGTCTGTTAGGTCAGGTAGGAAAAGTTCGAGGCTCAATGAACACTTTAAGACGTTTAAAATTATATGAACGATAAAATAGTGATAGGGAGGGCAGTAAGCTGTTATGGGACGAAATTCATAAGGCATCCAGATATGAAAATGTTGTGATAATGGGAGATTTTAACTTTAGACAAATTGATTGGAACAATATGACAGGAAATCTTGAGTCTAGTGACTTTCTTGATATGGTTCAGGATTGCTTTTTAGAACATTTTGTGACAGAACCAACTAGAGGAAACAATCTGCTTGACTTGGTTCTTGCCAACAAAGATTCACTAATTAATAATCTTGAGGTTAATGATGAGCTTGGGGAAAGTGATCATAAATCACTTAGTTTCAATATATCATGGAATTACCCAGATAACTGCAATCAAATCTCTGTCCCAGATTTTCGCTTGGCCGACTTCATGGGACTGAAAAATTACCTGGGTGGGCTAAATTGGGATGTTCTAACTATGGGTCAGGTAGGTGATCTTGGTTGCCAATATGACGTTTTTCAGAGCATAGTTCTAGCTGCCCAGACAACTTTTGTTCCGAGTAGGGAAATTAGATCTAACAAAAATGATCCCAGTTGGAAGAACAATAGATTAAAATATCTCATTGGTCAAAAGAGAGGCATATATAGGCGTATCAAAAGAGGGGATGGGCAGTTAAGAAATCAATATATTCAATTAAAGAGAGAAATAAAGAAAGGAATAAGAACAGCAAAAAGGGATTATGAGGCTAAGGTTGCAAGGGATTCAAAGGCTAACCGAAAAGGGTTCTTTCAGGTATACAGAAGTAAGATTAGGGACAAGACTGGCCCACTTTAGAGTAACTCTGGTCAGATCACTGACTGTGATAAGGATATGTGTGAAATTCTTAATTCCTTCTTCCTCTCAGTTTTCACTCAGGAAAATACTAGCGATATTCCTGAAATAATAGATTATGTAGAACTGGACATTAATAAACTATGCACGATTGCGGTAACTAGTGACATGGTCCTCAAACAAATAGAGAAACTAAAACCTAACAAATCCCCAGGTCCTGATGAACTGTTTGCAAGGGTGTTAATGGAATGTAAAGAGGAACTTAGCATACCTTTGGGTAATCTTTTTAACATATCACTACAAACTGGCATAGTGCCTGATAAGTGGAAAATGGCAAATGTAATACCTATTTACAAGGCAGGTGACAGGTCCTTGGCTTCGAACTATAGACCAATAAGTCTTACCTCAATAGTGGGAAAATTTATGTAACCAATGATTGCCGAAGCAATTCGTAGCCATCTTGATAGGCACAGATTGATTAATGAATCACAACACGGTTTTACAAAGGGGCGTTCCTGTCTTACGAATTTACTAACTTTTTTCACTAAGGTGTTTGAGGAGGTAGATCGTGGTAATGAATATGATATTGTGTATGTGGACTTCAGTAAGGCTTTCGACAGAGTTCCACATTAGAGGCTATTGAGGAAACTTAAGGCACACGGAATAGGAGGAGAATTTTTTTCCTGGGTAGAGGCATGGCTGACAAATAGGCAGCAGAGAGTTTGCATAAATGGGGAGACATCAGAATGGTGGCACGTCACAAGCGGTGTTCCTCAGGGGTCAGTGTTGGGCCCGTTGTTGTTCACAATTTACATAAACGACATAGATGAGGGAATAAATAGCGATATGAGCAAATTTGCTGATGACACTAAAATAGGCCGTCCAATTCATTCTAATGAGGACACTAGAGCACTCTAGGATGATTTGAATAGACTGATGCAATGGTCGGAGAAGTGGCAGATGCAGTTTAATATAGACAAATGCAAAGTTCTGAATGTTGTATAGGTAGATAACCATGCCACATATAAACTAAATAATGTAGATCTTAATACTACTGATTGCGAGAAGGATTTAGGAGTTCTGGTTAGTAGTAATCAAAAAACCAAGACAACAGTGCATTAGTGTTCACAATAAAGCTAACAGAATTCTTGGCAATATATATAGAAGTATAAATAATAGAAGTCCTCAGATTGTTCTTCAACTCTATATATCCTTGGTTAGGCCTCATTTAGACTATGCTGCTCAGTTCTGGTCACCGTATTACAGAATGGATATAAATGCTCTGGAAAACGTACAGAGGAGGATGACAAAGATGATCCCATGTATCAGAAATCTTCCCAATGAGGATAGACTGAGGGCCCTGAATCTGCACTCTCTCGAAAGACGCAGAATTAGGGGGGATATGATCGAGGTGTATAAATGGAAAACAAGAATAAACAAAGCGGATGTAAACAGCGTGCTGAAAATTTCCAGCCAAGACAGGACTCGCAGCAATGGTTTCAAGTTGGAAAAATTCAGATTCAGGAAGGATATAGGAAAGCACTGGTTTGGTAATAGAGTCGTGGATGAGTGGAACAAACTCTCGAGTACAGTTATTCAGGCTAAAACGTTGTGTAGTTTTAAAAATAAGTCAGATAAATACATGAGTGGGTGTAGGTGGGTGTGAGTTGAACCTGACTAGCATGTGCTACTAGGTCTGATGCCGTGCACCTTCCTTAAGTGGAAATGACCTGACTAGGTGGGTCATTGGGCTAATCCGGGAGGGGGGGGGACATGGACCTGCTGCGCGTGGGTCAGTGGGCCTGCTGCGGTGTTCCTTCTTATGTTCTTATGAGTGGGTGTGGATGAGTGTGAAATGAACCTGACTGGCTGCTAGGTAGGACGCAGTGCTAATCCCTCCCAGACCTCACTAGGACCTGTTGCAGTGTTCCTTGTTTCTTATGATCTTATGTTTTTATGTATAGAGCTATTGGTATCATTTACGTAAACTGTGACGTTCCTGTCGTTTAACGTCGTAAAGGGAAAGGAAATTCGAGGTGTACAGTACAAGGCAGTACTGGGCTGAATGCTGTGGATAAACAAAAGAGAAAGCATTCAAGTCGCATTTTCAACCCTTTTACTACAGAGGACTGTGGAGGATGACCCACGATATTCACTGAGCTAGTAGGAGGGAAAACAATTGTAGATACTTTTGGAACTGGAGAAGTGTACAGAGCTGGTAAACTAAGGAAGAGAGGAAGAAAACATGGAAAAGAAATCTAAGAAACTGAAGATGACTGTATAATAGATGTTGGCTCCATACGAACCTCCACTACTTTCACCCGAGAAGCATAGAATCATTAACCTTGATAGGGAGTGCGGTAAACTTCTATGGGATGAAATTCATAAGGCCTCTACATATGAAAATGTTGTGATACTGGGAGATTTCAACTATAGACAGATTGACTGGAGCAATTTGACAGGAAATTTAGAATCAAGAGACTTTCTTGATACGATTCAGGATTGTTTTTTAAAGCAGTTTGTGACAGAGCCAACTAGAGGAAATAACCTGCTTGACTTGGTTCTTGCCAGCAGGGAAACGCTAATTAATAATCTTGAGGTTAATGATGAGCTTGGGGAGAGTGATCACAAATCACTCAGTTTTAATATATCATGGAATTCCCCTAATAATGGCAATCAAGTCTCTGTCCCTGACTTCTGCTTGGCTGATTTCATAGGACTGAAAAATTACTTGGGTGGGCTGAACTGGAATAACCTGACTATGGGTCAGGTAGGTGGTGATGGTTGCCGATATGACATTTTCCAGAGGATAGTTCTAGCTGCTCAGACAACTTACGTTCCAAATAAGGAAATCAGATCAAGCAAAAATGATCCTAAATGGATGAACAATAGATTAAAACATCTCATTGGTCAAAAGAGAGGCATATATAGGCAAATCAAAAGAGGAGAGGTGCAATTAAGAAATCAATATATTCAGTTAAAGAGAGAAATAAAAAAGGGAATAAGAAAAGCAAAAAGAGATTATGAGGCTAAAGTTGCAAGAGAATCGAAGACTAACCCAAAAGAATTCTTTCAGGTATACAGAAGTAAGATCAGGGACAAGATAGGCCCACTCAAAAGTTACTCGGGTCAGCTCACGAACAGTGATAAGGAAATGTGTAGAATTTTTAACACATACTTCCTCTCAGTTTTTACTCAGGAGGATACTAGCGATATTCCAGAAATAATAAATTATGTAGAACAGGACGATAATAAACTGTGCACGATTAGGGTCACAAGTGACATGGTTCTTAGGCAAATTGATAAATTAAAACCTAACAAATCCCCAGGCCCTGATGAACTGTATGCAAGGGTTCTAAAGGAATGTAAAGAGGAGCTTAGCAAACCTCTGGCTAATTTTTTCAATATATCACTACAGACAGGCATGGTGCCAGATAAGTGGAAAATGGTAAATGTGATATCTATTTTCAAAGCAGGTGACAGGTCCTTAGCTTCGAACTATAGACCAATAAGCCTAACCTCCATTGTGGGAAAATTTATGAAATCAATAATTGCCGAGGCAGTTCGTAGCCACCTTGAAAAGCACAAATTAATAACGAATCTCAGCATGGTTTTACAAAAGGGCGTTCATGCCTTACGAATTTATTAACTTTTTTCACTAAGGTATTTGAGGAGGTAGATCATGGTAATGAATATGATATCGTGTATATGGACTTCAGTAAGGCGTTTGACAGGGTCCCACATCAGTGACTATTGAGGAAAATTAAGGTACATGGAATAGGAGGAGAAATTTTTTCCTGGATAGAGGCATGGTTGACAAATAGGCAGCAGAGAGTTTGCATAAATGGGGAGAAATCAGAGTGGGGAAGCGTCACGAACGGTGTTCCACAGGGGTCAGTGTTGGGCCCCCTGTGGAACACATAAACGACATTGATGAGGGCATAAAGAGCGACATAAGCAAGTTTGCCGATGACACAAAAATAGGCCGTCGAATTAATTCTGACGAGAACATTAGAGCACTCCAGGAAGATTTGAATAGACTGATGCAGTGGTCGGAGAAGTGGCAGATGCAGTTTAATATAGACAAATGCAAAGTTCTAAATGTTGGACAGGAAAATAACCATACCACATATAAACTAAATAATGTAGATCTTAATATTACGGATTGCAAAAAAGATTTAGGAGTCCTGGTTAGCAGTAATCTGAAACCAAGACAACAGTGCATAAGTGTTCGCAATAAAGCTAACAGATTCCTTGGCTTCATATCAAGAAGCATAAATAATAGGAGTCCTCAGGTTGTTCTTCAACTCTATATATCATTGATTAGACCTCATCTAGATTATGCTGCACAGTTTTGGTCACCGTATTATAGAATGGATATAAATGCTCTGGAAAACATACAAAGGAGATGACAAAGTTGATCCCATGTATCAGAAATCTTCCCTATGAGGATAGACTGAGGTCCCTGAATCAGCACTCTCTAGAAAGGCGTAGAATTAGGAGGGATATGATTGAGGTGTATAAATGGAAGACAAGAATAAATAAAAGGGATGTAAATAACGTGCTGAAAATATCTAGCCTAGACAGGAAGGATATAGGAAAGCACTGGTTTGGTAATAGAGTTGTGGATGAGTGGAAAAAACTCCCAAGTACAGTTATTGAGGCTATAACGTTGTGTAGCTTTAAAAATAGGTTAGATAAATACATGAGTGGGTGTGGGTGGGTGTGAGTTGGACCTGATTAGCTTGTGCTACTAGGTCAGTTGTCGTATTCCTTCCTTAAGTGAATGTGACCTGCCCTGACTAGGTTGGGGCATTGGCTTAAGCCGGTAGGAGTCTTGGACCTGCCTTGCATGGGCCAGTAAGCCTGCTTCAGTGTTCCTTCTTTCTTATGTTCTTATGTTCTTATGATTCACAGAGGAGAGCCAGTTAGTCAGATATGTACAGAAACGGAGGGAAGGTAAGCGTAGGTAAATGTTCACTGTCGCGCATTTTAACGAGAAACGATAATTAACCAACAATGCATATGAAGGCAACCTAGTATGAGAACTAGCGCAGGGGTTTTCGTCGACAGTTTATTTTGCTACGTTAGGATCCTGAGTAGCATTATTAAAACCCACTTCACTTACCTTCTACCTTCTTGCCATGTGATGTCAAGAAGGCTTTGTAGATCATACAGTCATACAGCACATATAATGCTTTACCAGGTTAGGGCATACATAATTTACACCAAGTTTGTTAGAAGAAGACACTGAATGCAACGTGGGGAATTCTTAAAATTATAATACAGAGTAAGTCAAGAAATATCAGTCGTAGCATCAGAGATAGCAGTAGTTGTCTTAGTTTAAAGATGGTGGAATGATGCAGGGACGCGCAAAAATGGCTTGCAGAATATCTTCTTGAGGAAGGATGCTGTATAGTCCTTGTGGCTTAGCGCTTCTTTTTGATTATAATAATAATAATTCTTGAGGAAGGAAAAGCTGGAAGTCTAGTCACAAACACTGCTAACAGATCACTAACAATACCAGTGTATAACAGTACTAAAACATCAGGTCCCCATTCCGCCATCCTAATGATCGAGAAAAAGGCTAGAAGACCTACAAATTTAATACAAACTTGACCGCAGGGTAAACAGGGAAGAAATTCGGAAGTGATCAACTGAGTCGAGGCAGATATAAAACAACCGTGGTGCCAGCCCTCTGATGTTTCATTCTTATCTGAAAATGTTATTTTATCAAAGTCGACTGGTAGGTTTAGCACAAACGCATCCTGCACGATCATCAGCCATGAAGTTAATCAATGCAATGCAGAGTAAGCAGGTCTGCACTGAACGGTTCATCACTGCTTCATAGACTCTAAAATCTGACAAAGTTAAGGAACAGTGTTCAGGTGTCAGACAGTTCAGTAAATCTAGCAGTTCTGTGCGAGGACAAATTGTAAGATCTGATTATTTTTTTGTTAGTACAGCCTTTAAAACAACATGTATCTTATTACCGTTTGTGAGAGTACAAGCGCCTGCTTGAACCAGAAGTTGACGAGGCCGGCTTGGGAGATCAGTCCCACAACACGGTCGAAGCTTTTCTTCAGTGGAGAGTGACTCTGGAGAGCAATAGCGACGTTGAATGGCAAGAAACATTCCTGTAAACAAAGTGAACATCATTTACACTGCTCAATATAAATTACTTATTTTGTGAAAGTCGAATTCATTAGAAGCTAAAATATGTATTAAAAAAATTACTGATTGAGAAATGCAGACAAAAATACCGAAGTTACTGAAATAAATTGTTTGTATATATATATATATATATATATATATATATATATATATATATATATATATATATATATATATATATATATATATATATATATATATATATATGTCGTGCCGAATAGGCAGAACTTGCGATCTTGGCTTAAATAACAACGTTCATCTTGCCATATAGGACAAGTGAAAATTTGTGTATGCAATAATTTCGCCAAAATCATTCTGAACCTAACGAAAAAAATATATTTCACTGTGTTTGTTTAGTATTAAATTACTGTAAACAAATCTAAAATATATTTAGTTGGGTTAGGCTAAAATAAATTGCGCTTGTTATAATAAGGTTAGGTAAGTTTTCTATGATTCTTTTGGTGCAAAATTAATTTTTTTTACATTAACATTAATGAAAAAAATATATCTTTAAACGTATAAGAGAAAATTTTAGAAAGGACTTAATTTTAAATGAGTTCTTGCTAATTGACCAGTTTTACATATTCGGCACGACATATATATATATATATATATATATATATATATATATATATATATATATATATATATATATATATATATATATATATATATATATATTTATTTATATATATATATATATATATATATCAACAACATGTCCGATGAAAAAGCCTTGGTCAAATTCGACTTTGCCAACGCTTTCAACGCAGTCAGAAGGGATGCTGCTCTTCAAGCAGT